TCAGGATCATCATATAGGCTGCACAATCAAACAATTAACTTCATATTCTTTATATATGCTTCAATCATAGGCAATTATAGTCATAAATCATCAATCCTAAAAGGAGATATCTAGCCCATAGAGTTTCCCTAACATGGCATCAAACCCACATATCAATCCAACCCTAAAATCATAGGATAGGCATGGGTACATGTAATTTAATGCTAAATACATGCAACTCTATCAATTAAATCATAAATAATCATAATCCACTCAATTGGATCAACATTCATCAAAACCCACAACAATGGAAGAAACCCTAACTAGAATTGGGGAATTCTTCTTCAAATTGTCAACATTCATCATACGGTAGTCACAAAACCGAAAAAATCTTGAATATTGAGAGACTTGATCTTGACCTAGCTTCAATTTCCCTTCTTCTTCTTCCACCTTCTAGAGAGAGAATATTTGACAGAGAATTTGGGTTTTCTTTTTGGATTTGAGAGAATGACTTGAATTAGGGATTTTTGGGGTTATAAATACTTATATAGGTGGTCTCGTTATAGGAAAAATGAACCAAATTGATTTAATTAAAATAGAAAAAGACCCATATACCGCTAAAATAACTACCAGCTCTCGATCCACAGATCCCTGACTGATGGACCATCGACTAACCTACGGTTTGCCCTGGTCAGTCATGGTTTGATGATCAAAGATTGGTTTTCTGAGGATTTGACCTATGGGCCTTCGACCACGGACAGTGGTCTGACCGACGGTCCATTGGCCAGAATGTGGTCCTGGACTTTTGGTACTATTTTGGGGAGGCCAACCCACAACCGTCCTACGATATGTGGTTCGACCCATTGGCCATGGTTGGCCTTCTTGGATAGCTCCCTGCAGTTATGCAATTTGCCTAATGACATCCAACTAAAATCCGGGTTGTTACAACATTTGAGGCTAGATTGAGGGCCACGATCCACGGACACTGGACCACAGATCATGGTCTGACCTACGGTACATAGGTCGGCCCGTGGGTCGTGCCTTTATTCAATTTTTTGGGTGGAGTTGAGGTGACCAACAATGGACACCACCTACAATTCGTGGTTCAACCTACAATTCGTAGGTGGCCTCCATCGGTGGCATCTGTAACTTTTGAAAATCTGCAATTTGGCCATTCTCAAATCTGAGGTGTTACACCTATAGAATATACAGACTATAATAACATGTCATTAAAATTATTTATCTTAAACTGTAACCAAATAGGAAGGTGTAGCTAGTCTCATCACACAATGTCAAAACAAACAATCAGGGAACCCAATTAGTAGAAGCTCGAACGTTACTACCAATTCTCCCACTGATAAAAATGGCCATCAATTGGCGGGCCTTCCAAGTGGCTCAAATGAAGAGAAGTAGAGACGTAAACAAAATAAGAATAGAAGGTCGCTTGAAAATCATCCTAATGGGGGTATATCTAAAGCTATCATATTTTGAACTTGATAAAATCCTTGAATTTCTCTTAACTATATCTGACATGTTTTGTTAGTATAAAAAATCGGAAGATCAAGAACTTAAGTGAGACAGATTTGGATAGTTCTACAGTTAAAAAGTGTAGAAGAGATTATGTAAATTATGATGACGATATCATTGAAGAACCGGTTAATCAAACTTTGGGATAAGAAAAGGTTAGTGATAAATATAAATAGAAGCAGCTAAAGATTGATTCTTTAAAAGATTTGGCTTAGCTAAAAATTCAGAAAGCCATTCTTGGATGTGACATTAAAGAATCCCTTAAGAGGAAATAGAGTGAATGCTAGAATCTTAAGACACAACCTCCCCCCACATATTATATATTAAATATGTGATAACACTGTAAGAAATAAAAGAAAGCAAGGTCTCCAAGTTCGTGGGTAAAAATATTAGTTGAAGTAGAGCCAGTGAAGGGACTGATAGAAAATGGACAGCGAGTTAGACAAAATCTAGATTACACTGCTACAGCCACTTCAAGCTCTTCTAAAGTGTCTTCTTCACATAAGAACCGACTAAAAAGTGACATTTTACGATTGATAAATTTTATAGCTAGACAAAAAAAAAATTCTAATCTTATTTAGTAACAAATTATTATAAAATTCTATTACCTACAAAAAATATAAAAAAGGTTAATGATGAAGTTCGTTGCTAATTAAAACTATATACAATGCAACCAAAGTTGTCTAATGTTAACAAATGCAAGTCCTATAAATGGAATACAACAAGCCATCTCAAAGGCTAAAGACTAGCAAACATATATAGAGTAGGAGAAAGGCTGGTCCAGGACGCCCAAAGCTCACCCCGTCTCCGATATCCAAAAGTTGCAAAACATGGCACGATCGATCACGGCCGGTGGTAGCTGGTACTATGACCTGCATCTCGAAAATATGCATAGTTTATCATAAGTACCAAAACAAAGGGACTCAGTATGCATCAAAGGCCGACTGAGAAGGAACAGATAAAACAATCTGAAAAGAGAGAATTTAGACAAACAGAGATCAAAACAGATATGAAAAGAAGCACATGAGCATACCTAAAGTAAATCTAAGTATAGCTAAACAAAACCAAACTAGACTCCCATAATCCTAAAAGTTACACTTTTACGCAGGTTTAAATAAAATCCGAACAGACCCCATAAGCCTCACAGCTGACAAATAGAAGTCAAAACAGATATGAAAAGAAGCACACAAGCATAACTAAAGTAAATCTAAGTATAGCTAAACAAAACCAAACTAGACTCCCATAATCCTGAAAGTTATACTTTTACGCAGGTTTAAATAAAATCCGAACAGACCCCATAAGCCTGACAGGTACACATAATAGCTAAGACTACAAGAATGAAAAGTAAACCAAATCTGGATAAAAAAACATTAGTCAGGCTAAATGTCTAAATAACCACGTATTCAAGAACCAGTGAACTCCCAGCCCAGGTCGCAAGAGTGACTATTAATCCAGGACGCCCAGTGAGAGAGTCCACTCTCAGGAGCATTGATACTTCCAAACTTACACCTCAATTAACATATATAAATTGTAGAAGTCAATGTGGTTAAGGTAGATCCCACAGAGAATTTCATTATAGAAATGATTTCACTATCGCATTTTACTCAAATGTCGTTATTATTTCTTAAAGAAACAATTACGGAAAGTAAAATTGGGTTTAGCTATAAAGCTCTAGTAACCAAGATTGTTAACTAAAATATAATGCATCAATTAAAAGAATATCAGTTCTAAAGTTCTTTTGATAATTAAATGAAACTAGGATTGTTTTCCCCATAACGTTGCATCTAATGTTCTTCCGTATTTGAGTTTCACGCAATTTGTCTCTAGAAAATACAAGCGAGCTAAATATATTTCATACTTCTTAGTCTATTCAGATAATTTGCACTCAAGTCCTGTCGGTCCCAAAGTGTTAAACGTTTAACCCTCGCTTACAATAGTGTTAAAGTTCTTTTCTCTCGAACTTGAACTTTGACTCTATTTCTTAGGTTAATTTAGCTTTTTCCTAACTATCATTTTTCTCTCGAACAAATTATAGATACAGGCTCACCATAATGCGTGCACTCATAAGAATATATGAATAACGAAAGCTAAATTATATTTTGCAAATGTAAATCGCCTTCCACTCATTTTACGAAAATACACTTAAATTTATGTCATAGATCCCACAATACCAATTGTGGTATTTAGCCACAATACTTATTCAGAGAGTATACTAACCATATCATTAGAATATAATGAAAACATGACGATAAAAATACTTACAAAAATAAGCAAATTGTTACGCACTTTGATAATTCAAGAACCGGAAATTCAACTTCCTAACTTAATTCGATGTTTAATCTTCAACTCCAAAAGCTAAGAATATTTGAAAACATGTTCTTTGTTCCAGATGTGATGAGATACAACATAAAAAAGACCTAATTAAATCAAATAAAGTGTTTTAAAAAGAGTCATACTCGAAGTAGGACTGAACTGTCGGACCCTTCACGACTGCTTCCACGACCCATCAATGGCTTCACGGTATGTGAAGCCCTTCGTGGTCTTCACTTGGACTCACCCAAAACATATTTTTCAAGACTTGTACAATGTATCCTCACCACGGACACCACCACGCCTTGTGACAATGACGACGATTTGTGTAGTTGTCCGTGGTCTTCACTTGATAATTCCCTCTTGAACTTTCCAATGCCCGTTCACTGTATCATTACCACAGACACCACCACGACCTGTGACAATGAACATGGTCTGTGTAGTTGTCCGTGTTCTTAACTTGGTCAATTCCTCTTTCAACTTTTCATTGCCCATTCACTGGCTCATCTTCACGACTCGGGCCACGGACCGTTGTAAGGATCACAGCCCGTGAGGTTGTTCATGGTCGTCACTTGGTTTAATTCTCGTTCAGTTCTTCCAACCCTCAACAATGGTTTAACTCCATGATCATCTCCACGTTCAGTAGTGAAGACCACTGCCCGTAAGGTCGTCCGTGGTCTTAACTTCCACTTTCACTAAATATTCAAGCGTTGCCCATTCACCTTAAATGCAGGTCCTTCTTGACCTTCAACTACTATGGCACCATTTGTGAACATTCTTGTCACTCTAAACAGTCCTGACAATTTAGATTTGAGCTTTCCTGGAAAGAGTCTAAGTCCTGAGTTCTATTGTAACACCAGTCTCCCACTCTAAACTCCCAATTCAGGAGTTAGGCATCATGTCATTTCTTCAACTTTTCGTTGCATATGGCTGAACTTTCATGAGATTTGAACCTGAATTCATCCACTTCATTTAACTGCTCTACTCTTTCTTTTGAGGTCTTTGTCCAGTCCAGATTTAAAGCTTTCAATGCCCAGAATGTTTTATGTTCCAATTCATTTGTAGATGGCAAGATATACCAAAAACTAGTTGATACGGAGACATACCGATTGGTGTTTTATAGGCGGTACGATATGCCTATAGTGCGTCATCAAGCTTTCGAGACCAATCAGTTCTATTAGCATTCACTGTCTTGGCCAAGATGCTTTTGATTTCCCGATTGACACTTCAACCTGGCCACTCGTTTGGGGATGATACGGAGTTGCTACTTTGTGTTTCACTCCATACATGCTCAATGCAGCTGAAAAACACTGGTTGTAAAAGTGGGATCCCCCATCGCTAATAATAGCCTGAGAAGTAACTAATCTCGCAAAGATGTAGCATTTCAAGTAATGAACAACGGTTTTTCCTTCATTCTTTGGATGTGCAACAACCTTCACCGATTTGGAAACATAATTTACAGCCACCAATATATACTTATTACCAAACAAACTCACAAATGGGCCTATGAAATCTATTCCTCAAACATCAAATAGCTCAACTTCTAAAATGGGTGTAAGAGGTAACTCATGTCTTTTGGACACTCCACCTTGTTTCTGACATTGACTGCACTTCTTAACAAACTCATGAGAATCTTTGTAGAGAGACGGACAGTAGTACACACTTCGTAGAACTTTAGAAGTTGTACGTACACACCACCATGATGACTTCCAACCGGTGAAGCATGACAAGCATGGAGAATTTCAATAGCTTCTTTTTTTGGAACACATCTTCTAATGATATGGTCAGTATACTCTCTGAATAAGTATGGTTCATCCCAAAAGTACTTCTTAACATCAAACAATAACCTCTTTTGTTGGTAGAAGTTCAGTTCATCCGGCATTAATCCATACACTACATAATTGGCACAATCAGCATACCAAAGAGGTTGGTTGAGAGTTACCGTGAATACCTGCTCATCGGGAAAAACATCATTTATGTCGATCTCTAGCTCATCATTCACCTTGCCTTCCAATCTTGATAAGTGGTATGCCACCTAATTTTCACAACCTCTTCTATCTTTGACCTCAAAGTCGAATTCTTGCAACGAAAGTACCTACCTTATCAATCTTGGCTTGGCATCCTTCTTTGCCATCAGTTAACACAATGCAACATGATCAGTGTGAAAAATCACTTTAATACCTAGCAAGTATTCTTGGAACTTCTCAAACGAATAAACTACCGCAAGTAACTCTTGTTATTTAACTATATAGTTACGTTGAGCAGTGTTTAGAGTTTTGCTTGCGTAGTAAAAGGGGTGAAAAAGTTTGTTGCATTTTTGACCCAATACAACACCTAATGTTATGCTGCTTGCAGAGCACATTACTTCAAAATCAGGACTAATGATGATCGGTGTGGAAACTATTTTTTCTTTCAAGCACTTGAAAGCTACCATGCAAGCATCATCAAAGTGGAATTTCACCTTCTTTTCCAAGATTTTGCATAGAGGACTTGCAATCTTTGAGAAGTCTTTGATGAACCTCCGGTAAAAACCGGCATGTCCCAAGAAACAACAAACACACTTCACTGAAATTGGTGGTGGAAACTTCTCAATCACTTCAATCTTTGCTTTGTCAACCTCCAGCCCCTTTTGTGACACTTTGTGACCAAGAACTATACCTTTCTTAACCATGAAATGACATTTTTCACAATTTAGGACTAAATTTGTGTCCACACATCTTTGGAGAACTTGTGCTCAGTGCTCTAAACATGCTTAAAAAGTGTCACCCACAACCGAGAAGTTATCCATAAATACTTCCATTGAATCCTCCACCTTGTCAGTAAAAATACATGACATGCAACGTTGAAATGTAGCCAGAGCATTACATAATCCAAACAACATCTATTTTAAGGCAAAAGTACCATATGGGCTCGTAAATGTTGTTTTCTCTTGGTCTTCGGGAGAAATGAAATCTGGTTATAACTGAAATACCCATCCAAAAAGCAATACCAACCTCTCTCGGAGAGTCGATCAAACATTTGATCTATAAAGGGCATGGGAAAGTGATCCTTTTCAACCCAGGAATTTAACTTCCCCTAATCCATGCATACTCTTTACCCGGTCAACGATCTCATAGATACAAGCTCCTTTTTTTCATCTGGGACTACCGTGATGCCTCCTTTTTTTGGTACACATTGTACCGAACTTACCCATTTACTATCCACAATAGGGTAGATCACACCTTCGTCCAACTACTTTATTATCTCCTTTTTAACTACCTCTTGCATCAGTGGGTTCAATCTCCGCTGATGTTCAACACTTGGCTTACAATCACTATCAAGTTGAATTTTGTGAGTGCAAATACCGGGAGATATGCGCACTATGTCAGCTATAGTCCACCCTATAGCTTTGATATGCCTTCTCAACACCTCAAGGAGTAATTTTATTTGCCAATCAAGCAAATCAGCTACAATGATCATCGGTAAGGTGTTATTTTTCCCCAATAAAGCATATCGGAGATAGGAGGGAAGTACTTTCAACACTAGATTTTGTGATTCTTATGTTAATGGGTTTAAGGGAGGACTTTCTCGATTTATTATATCAATGTCCTACTTCAACAGAGTCTTTCAATACCCCTACACTTGATAGAGCTGCTACTACCTTTTCATAGACTTGAATTTCAAACTCATCATAGTTAGCAAGCACAGCTTCAAGTAGCTCACTCATACACATTAAATGGATCACACTAGACACCGCCTCATCAATAACATCAACAGTGGAGACCACATGAATATCACTTAGGTGTTTCATTGACTTACATACATTAAAGGTTACTTCATCTTCATTCACCAGAAACATCAATTCTCCACTCTCAACATCCATCTACACTCTTCTGTTTTCCAAGAACGGTCTTCCCACAATGATGGGAATTTTAGCGTCTATTTCACAATCGACAATGACAAAATCAGCCGGGAAAATAAATCGGTCAACCTTTACCAAGATGTCATATAGTATCCCCACAGGATGTTTAATTGATTGATCCACCATCAAGAGTCTCATTGTTATGGTTTTCGATTCCCCCAACCCAAGATGTCTATATATCGCATATGGCATTAGGTTGATGCTTGCTCCCTAATTGCATAGGGCTTTAGCAAATTGGAGCATGCAGATGGTGTAAGGGATGGTGAATGCTCCGGGATCTTCTCTCTTTTTGATCAACTCCTTAGACATAATTACACTACAACTATTGGAGACTTTGATTGTCTCAAAATCCAAGCTCCTTTCTTTGTGACTAACTCCTTCAGTAACTTGGCATACTTCGGCATTTCCAACAATGATTCCATTAGAAGCAGATTAATTGATAATGTCTTGAACACCAATAAAAACTTCTTAAACTTCTCATACTTATTCTTGTTCTTTAGACGTTGACAAAATAGAGGAGTATTTTGGGTAAAGATTGCATAACTTTTGGGCTTTGATTGTGTTTCTTCATATCCTTTTGTGGTCCATTGGCAATGGTTTGATGGATAGGTGCCTCTTCTTCCTCCATCCCTTTCTCTTCTTCATGCATTTGAGCTTCTTCATTTCCCGTCACATAGCCTATTGCTACCTTTCCACTTCGAGTAACCACAACCAGCTCTCCATTATCAGTTTTTATTATTATTTTTGGTGTCCATTGTGCTGAAAGTGAACTCAACTGACCTTCAAGTATCTTCATTACATCTCTGTGAGAGTTCACTTTATTGTTCAATGATGAAAAGTTGGATTTAATCCCTTTTAACAAGTCATCTGAACCTTTGACTTTATCAAGGATGCGTGATAGCAAATCGTTCACCTGTGGACTACTTGCACTCATTCTCGATTTTGGGCTCTCACCTCTGTGAGTGTGGTACTCTTCATGGTCCTCCCTTTTCCAATAGTCACTTTGTTTGGCCCAATCTTGATAGTATCTTCCTTGTTCTTCCCCCCCTATGATAGTTCCAACCTTGATTCCCGCCCCGCTGTAAATAGCGTGGGTGGAAGCTCTCCTCGTATGTTTTGGAGTTCCAACCTTGATTCTCCCCCGGCCTTTAATAACCGGAGGAAGAACCCTCCTCAACTCTAAACACTCCACTTGTTCCCTTGGGATTTTCCACATTCTCCATCATATGCTCTTGTAATAGCTCCATTTTGGTCAAGATCTTCTTGATTTTTTCATCCCTCTCTCTTTCCTTATCAAGTTATTCTTGTTTCCTTCTAAAACAAAAAGGGGAGACTTGATCCTCTTGCATGTACCACGCTTGATTTATTTTTGTCATATCATCAAGAAGAAATGAAGCCACCTCAAATGATTGCAACATTATACCCCCTCACACCAATCGATCAGCCACCCCTTTGTTAACCTAATAAAGACTCCGGTAAAAATATTAGAGTACTAAATCGTTTGGTAGCCCACGAGTTGGGAATTGAAGTAAGAGATTCTTAAACCTCACCCATGTTTCATGGATAGGTTCACCATCCCATCGCTTGAAACCTTTAATGTCGTCTCTAAGATTCATCATCCTTGATGGGGAAAGAATCCTGTATTGAATGCTATAATCAACTCCTTCCATGACGTGATGGAATTGTTTGGTAACTCGGCCAACCACTTGCTAGCCTACCCCATCAAATATAGTGGAAATAACCGAAGTCGGATTGACTCTTGTGACACATTTTTGAATGACAATTGGATGCACACCTTAGTAAAACTTCTTACATGCTCATGTGGGTCTTCATGTGCTAGCCCTCTATAGAGTCCTCGCATTTGGAGGAGATGAAGAGTTTTGCTAGTGACCTCAAATCTTGCATTCCCATTAGCTTGTTGTATGTAAATTGCACCCATTTCATCTGAATGAGATGGTCTGTAAACACTATTGATATCATCGATACCGTCCTGATGACCTGCTTGACTACAATTCACCTCTTCCTCACTTATTTTTACTTCTATGTAGTCCAACCAACACTAAACAATGCAGCCTAAGCCAATTCAACTATAGCCAACCAATTCACAAATCAAATCTTCGATCAAAGAATTCTAAATAATGCTACTCTCCGGCAGTAGCGCCATTTTGATTAAAGTTTCAAATAAAATTCATCCATTTCTATGTGTCAACGATCCCTAGTGAGTATATAACCAAATTAAGTGAGTTGGGGTTGATCTCACTAAGAGTAACTTTTCCTTCTAATTCAATTATAAAAGTATGACAACAATCTCTTCAACTGAACACTTACTATACCTTTTTGGTTTAAGCTTCAAATTTCAAGTTATAATTATCAATCCAATTCAACACTTAACACGAAATGATCAAATATTGAGGTAACACTTGGGGAATTGACCAACCAATTATTGAATTCAATTTAGTGGATGAACATTGATGCTCACATTGAAATAAATTGTTGTGGGTAGGTTGGACTATATGTAAAGTAATTTTCTCTCGAACAATTACCTTATCTTTGTCGAATTATCTCAAACTTCAACACTTAACGGAAGATGCCCATCCCTCTGTAATGACTCATAAAATGAATAGGCGTAACTAGAGCCTAACGAGTTTGGTTGTGAATTTTTTATGGGGTTTGATGTTGTAGATTGTTGACCCGAGCAACGGTTGAGTAGTTTAGGGGTTAAACCTCAAGGTACGACTCCCCAAGGACCACCCTAGGGGTCCTTGAGGAGGACCCTAAGCCTAAACACTAAGACCCCAAGAAAACCAAAAAGCTAGAAATTTGGGATGACCTATGGTTGGGGACCTACACCCCATAGGTTCATCCATACCCCGTGGATGACCTCCGTGGGTCAAGGCCCCCAAAACCAAGTAGCAGCCATGAACCATGAAGTGCCAACATGGCCGGTGGACCCACCCATGGTTTGTGGGTAGGGTTTCATTGGTCAAGACTGCAATGTTGTCAAGGAATCAACCAAGGTGAGGGTCTTTTGGTAAATTCATTTTAAGTTGAGTATAGTTAGTGGACAGTTATAATTGGTTATTTAAAGTATTTTGAGGATTTTTTGTAGCGACCCTTTTTAAGGAGACCTAACTTTTACTTGCGACATTCAAAAGCAATTAACGAGGGCATACTGATTATAATCTAGTAGAGGGATTAGATTCATAATGACCTCCAAAAATTAATAAGGCAACGGTAAATCGACATGCGACTCATGTCTATTGTTGAATACGAACAAAAGTTTCTAAGGCTCTCTCGCTATGGTGGTGGTATTATTATAGAGGAAAAAGATTATGAGATTTGGCCAAAAAGGAAAGCTTAGTCCCCGATTTATTGGACCTTATGAGATACTTGAAATGGTTGGACAAATTTCATATAAATTAGCTTTTCCACCGGAGTTAGAGAAGATCCACAATGTCTTTCATGTTTCTATGATCAGAAGATATTGTATTGATCCATCGCATGTTCTTCCAGTTGAATCTATTGAGGTTAATCTTGACATGACGTATAATGAAGAACCTATCCGAATTGAATCTCGAGAAGTAAAGCAACTTAGAAACAAGAGAATCCCCTTAGTAAAGGTACTTTGAAGTAACCATTCTGGAAAAAAAGCTACCTGGGAAAGAGAAGAAGACATGAGGACCTAATATCCGCGCTTGTTAAGCCCCAGTCTTGTAGTATATTAAATTTACCACTAATTTTGAATGATTGTGTGAAGCATGAACCACCTAGTTTGGGTACTCGGAAGTTGGTAATATTCTTTTTATATCATTTTTACTACTGTGAGGACAATATATATGCATAAAATCCTCATGAGTTTTTGGCTTATATTATTTCGGAAAGGTCGCTATAAGTGTTGGTATCACAGTCTAGGTTTGTGGTGGTAGGACTTTTGCTGTGAATTACTTGTATACTTGTTCGCCTTTGAAAAAGGTTTTATTTGGATTATTTGTTCACCTACATGGTTTAAAATATTTTTTTATCGTATGTAGAGTGCACATGCATCATGTACACATCCCTAATGGAATGTGATCTTCACTTTTGAAGGAATTAAGTTGTGTCCTCTTCTTCTCACCGACCTATGGAACCTGATCGTGAAGGTTCGGGTACCTCTGTTCCCCAACCTCATGCATTAGAAGAGGTTGGAGAACCTTTCTCGAATCAATATGTTCCCCACACTAGTTGATCTGAGGTGGGAAACCATTAGGGTGTAAGAGCTGGTTCAAATCCTCGCATGAGCCATGGTACTCAAGCCATGAATCCTCCTTTTCAACAAATGGCTGAATTCTTCCACCACATGGCTGAATCAATGCATGATCCCAACGTGATTAACTTTGAGAAAATGAGGAAAATGGGTGGAACGGAGTTTGAAGGCACCGTTGATCCCACTGATGTTGAACAATGGCTGGAGCGCATGGAGAGGGTATTTGAGCAGTTAGAGTGTTCAGTTGTTGCAAAATTTAAGTATGCTATTTCACTATTACAAAATGATGCTTACGATTGGTGGGTAAGTGTTCTAAATGACATGGTAAAACCTCCTGTTCTTACTTGAGATGATTTTCTTAAGGAATTTCGTATGAAGTATGTCCCACCTGCTTATTGTGATGCAAAGAAAATTGAGTTTTTGAATCTAAGGCAACGCGGCATGTCTATTACTGAATACGAACAAAAGTTTCTAAGGCTCTCTCGCTATGCTGGTGGTATTATTAAAGACGAAAAAGATTATGAGATTTGGCAAAAAAGGAAAGCTTAGTCCCCGATTTATTGGATCTTATGGGATACTTGAAAGAGTTGGACCAATTGCATATAAATGAGCTTTGCCACTGGAGTTAGAGAGGATCCATAATGTCTTTCATGTTTCTATGGTTAAAAGATATCGTTCTAATCCATCACATGTTCTTCCAGTTTAATCTATTGAGGTTAATTCTGACTTGACGTTTAATGAAGAACCTATCCGAATTGAATCTCGAGAAGTAAAGCAACTTAGAAACAAGAGAATCCCCTTAGTAAAGGTACTTTGGAGGAACCATTTTGGAAAAAAAGCTACGTGGGAAAGAGAAGAAGACATGAGGACCCAGTATCCGCACTTGTTCTGGGACTAGTGTCTGGTAAATTTCGAGACGAAATTTATTTAAGGGCGAGAGAGTTCTAACACCCCTAAATATTAACCAAGAGTCGCATGTCGATTTACCGTTGCTTAATTACTACAATATGTTTTATTCTCATTTTGGGAACTTGAAATTTTGTGATAATTGAAAACTTGCTTAACATAAATTGTTATTGTAAATCAAGGTATTTTATGGGGGTATTTGCGTATTTATCTAATTATACTTACTTATACATTGGAAGTGTGGGTATAAAGTACCTAAATATAGTTATATATGTATGCTTTTTGGGCAGCCATCTATTTGTTTGGGCAGCCCCTTTTGGTGACATCTGCCCACGTGACTAGGATAACTTTTGTAGCTATATATCTTTACACCTTCTTTGATTGAATTCATTTTCCCTCAAGTCTAAGAACATTATAACATTATTTAAAAAGTTGTTCTTCAAAATCAAGAGAAACTAAGTGCTTTTGGCTGGAATCGGACACACACACTTCCTTTTGGTAAGTGACGAAATCTACTTTGAGCTGGGTTGTGTTTGGTATATTAGTCATATCTCATTCAAATAAACTTAGCTTACAGTGAATAGATATGTTTTGGAAAGATAATTCGTAGACCTACAGATGTAATGTTTATGTAAAATTCTAATTTAGCTGTTATGGATACGAAATAAGGGACGCAACATATGACAAGTTCTGTCCAGATTCTAGAATTAGAAATCTTGTACGTTCAACTGTTAGTGTTTAGAATATATCTTTTTATACAAAGCGTATTTTGCGGTGATTCTTGATTTTTTACAAGCTTAAGAGATGTACCTACATCTTTTATGAAGGATATAAATTCCATTTTGGCCGTTTTCTGTTTCAAATCTAAGTTACAACATGAGGGACTAGGCTGTCCAGAATTACTGTTTTGGGAGCATAGTGGTATTTGTACAGGGTAAGCTTACTTGTGATGATAATTTTGTTTTACATCAACATTATTGAACTGATAGGAATTAAAGAAGTTGTTTAATTGTATTTTTAAGGTTGTATTTACTCGTGAACAAGTTGAGGACCTTGAAACATTGGTTGGTCTACGGTCTGAACTCGCGAAGTTGTGTTGGACTGTTTCTTTGCTAAAGCACTGAGGTTTGTGTATAAACTTCTACTCTTTTTCACTGCTGGTATATCTGAAAGTTTATCTTGGTACCTTGGTTACCTCTTGCCACTTTGCATTCTCATGTTGGTATCCTTTAAGACATTAAAGACGCTTGTGTAACTGGGCCACTTGTAAGGATTGTTTGATCACTTGGCACTCTTGTTGGGAACTTGTCCTTCTTGTGGCTGTGACTTTGCCACTATTGGCATGCCTCTTGATTCGGATCATTTACCATCTTGACTATGGATTTTTAGTCCGTCTTAAGAATGAAAGTTGTCAATTTTACGTACGAATTAAAAAACCATTTTTAATATGGTTCTTACTTCTCT